ATACGTTTAATAAAATTTCGAATATTAGTTAATAAATTATGATAAAATTATTTTTAAGAACAAAAGAAAATAAATATTAATTGTACAACTCGAAAATTAAAAAAGAATTAATTGAGTAATACACATAAAATGATTATCTCGATGTTGCTCATCAAATGCTGTTCATCCGGAAACAGCTTGATTTGAATAATGCACCGTATTTCCACTTATTGAAGCAAGAGGGCAAACAATACTAAGGACTACCTGAAAAAACAAAATGATACAAACATATCAAGAAAATTTAATGAAAATTTATTTTTCTAGATCTAAAACATATAATATACTGATATTTTTTCTTTTCTTTGTTGTGATAGATATGCTTATGCGAAATGAAGATTCTAATGAAAAATCATCATCGGAGGAGGAAATTGGAGGACAATATAATTGCCAACTACATTGTATGGGTCTTGATAAGTATTTCGTAGATTTTTCATCAATTACTTCGCGCATTCGTTTTTCACATTCTTTGACTAGAAGTAATATTTTAATAAAACAACCAACCGTCCCAAAAACGCACGACGCTATTCCAATACCCAGTATTGCAAAACCTGCTGCTGCAGATTTAATTATTATTACTGGACCTCCAATGCACAATAATATTGAAACTGCTATGAAAAACCACATAACACAAAAATGAATTTTACAACGAGTTCTGAACGAATAATAAGCATCATTGATTTTGGTAAGTGATGCTAGAAATTAAGCTTCACTAATTCTTCCATATAGTTCAGTAGGATATGTTTTATCAAATTTTGATCGCATAAACCCATCTAAAACACCAAAAGTAAAGTATAAATGAGACTCAAAAATGACGACCAACTGTTCATCATTGGTATGTAAATTGAATTTTCATCGAAATCAAAGTAACTCATCTTCTTTTGTTCGAATAAAAAATCTAAATCAGAACAACTGTTTTAATAATATACAATTACATCTTTACTTTATTTAAACCATGTCATTCTACATGTCACAATAAATGATTAGAACCTTGTTGTGAACTCCAAAACAACATTTAGTTAATAGTAGTCCTTCTACTCGATTCCTTGTTACATATGAATATATAAATGTTTTTCATCGTTGTTGAAAAAGTATTAGATTTCAGTAGAATTGCGTATGTCGACTAATGCGAGTCCGCTCAAATCATCTGTACCAGATATCTTAGCTGTTTTTGCCTAGTTTTTGAGTTGTATTATTTATTAAGGAATCTTCTCTTAAGATGCTCAATAATGCATGCAAGTAGCAGACAATGAATACAATATTTCATCTATTTGCTGCTATTTTTTTATCTTGTCATTCTCTCACTTGAGTCGCATTTTATTTTGTACTTTATGATGTATGACTTACCTAGGTATAAGCGTACTTTGATTCTGTCATGACGCTATCCGTAGATCAACATGCATATTCTTCCTAAAGAAGTAATTTCGTTTTTTGTAGCCGGAAAAATTAAAATTTTCTTGTTTATCCTCACCAAGGCGATAGTATATGACATAAGAGCAAAAATCAAATAAAAGAACAAAAAAGTATCCAATCCAACACCAATATTTTGTCATGTATTAGTGAATGATAAAAAGAAAGTTTGGGAAAAAAATGACGTTATTATCATCGCATGTTGTCATTCATCATTTATTACTTTGATGAAGACAACGAAACGGAAGCACGTTGATTGTGTGTGTAGTAGAGGTAACCTGTGCAAATACTCTCCAATGTACATAAATGACTTGCCATATTATTGTACTGTTTTGAGAATAAAATAAGCAAAAAAGAAATATTTTCAATTCGAAAGCTGAGGAGTAGT